AACCTAAAGGTGGATTGCTCACATTATGAATTTTTTGATGGAGAATTTTTGATAGGCGCAATGTACTGTATGTTTTAGGAAATGACAAAGTTGAGAATGACCAGCCGTCTGAAGCTGCAAATGTGCCTTTGCGATCAACAGAAGAGCGAGTGATAACTGAACCACCCTCGACCGATAAATCAGTAGAAACGTCCGAGTCAGTTAGCACATCACCTCTGGAAGATAACAACCGATTACCACTCAAAGAGACGACACCGTCAAAATTGCCATTGGAAGCAGCATCAGAATTAAAAACATTTAAACCCTCTCGTATTTCAGAAAAGCAGCATTTACGCATTCTGGAGGATGCTTTTGGTAGTAGCCAACCCCATGCTTTACACCATCATATACTATGTGCAAAATACAGCTGAAGTTTCTATCTTCCAATGAAATAAGCAGGCAGTTGCCATCAAAGCGCCATGTTTTCGAGCACGACTGAATCGATGATGACATTGCATTCTGCTGTTAAAGTAGTGTATGGTGGCTGACATTTACATGTAAAGAGGGCGATGGAATGTTTTGTTGCCTTTGTAAAAAAAAGCATATTAAAACAGGCAAAAATGTGAGATATGCTACTGCGCCCGGTACACGTTACAGGAAGGCCGCAATACCAGAGCATGGCAATTCAGAAGAACACAAGCAGGCAGTAAGGCTAGAGAGAGAAAAATGAAAACTTGATCGTGTGAAGGGTTTTTTTTTATACTTAGAGGGACAGCACTGACGTTACCTCAACCAACGTGATGCATAAGTTCGCTTATCCTTTGCAGAACGTCCAACATTAACCAAATGCTTTACCTGTTTGAAAAGGTCCCTTACCTTTTGTGCTGAAAACTAGGGAGAACCCTGTATATCCATTATGGAATTTTAAGAAAAACAAAACAATGCAATTTTGTGTCTGAACCCTCTTGACCAGTTAACATATAGTCAGCATACCTTGTGTCACGCTTGACTGGTAACGTTAAACACTAGGGCGAACCAATTTATTACCGAATTGCGCCAGTTTTAATTTTGCCGGTTTAATTGCCTCATGCTTTCCTCACATCAAATCTCTCAGGCTAACAAATCACAAAGAAAAATCCAGCGATTTTCCCGAAAAGACTCTCAGGACTCTGTTTTTCTTTGAGACTTCCTTGGAAAAATATCAGACCCCAAGACTTCTTCAGTCTCTTCACAGAATTGTACAATTCAAGCTGTTTCAAAAGCAGCATTAGTGAAACTCGACTGCTAATAAATGTCGAAGTAAATAAATCTTTCTCATGTAATTATTTCTGTGTGCAGTGGTAAGTTTTGTCAGTATGGACACAATGACAAATAACCTATGTGTTGTTACGCTGAATGAAATGTTATCCCTTTACAGTTCTGCGCGATTTTATGCATGATTTTATCAGGATGCTCGTGTTTTGTGCTACTTATTTTGTAACAAAAAAAGAACATCGATGTGTGCTTTCAGAAAATGCTGCCTTGTTTGTCAAATATTTCTTTCAATATAATAATATGTTCAGTTTTCATACCCTTTCAAGTACCACACAGTGAAAAGTAAATATGATATGTCCACAATGAAATTCTGACCTTGTTTCGGGGTAAAGTGCTTGTGTTTGACTTCCTTGGGGAAGACAGAAACTAGTTCAGCCAATTTCATCTTTTTTTTAAACTAGCCAAAGTGGCTAGTGGAAGTCAAAAACGTACCAGCCAAAACTAAATTTCTACTAGTCTGTGGCTAGTTGGCTACCGTTTGCGTTGAGCCCTGGCTGTACATACTGAGTAAGTTGTCAAGGGTGCTACCCTGAGCACACTTGCTGTTGCACAAATTGAGATTACTTTAAAATAATTTATTGCAGTCCCCCTTTCTGGAAGGGTCACAGAGGGTTGCCACGGATAAGAAAATGGTCAGGGAAGAAACATTGGTTTTCTTCAAGGTCAGCCAGAAAGTCAGGGAATATTTGAGTTGGGAAAATTTAGGTTTTGAAGAAAAGGCAGGGAAAATTGAAATAATTTAACAAGGCTGATCAATTTAATTTCAAGTTATCAAGAGTGTGTTTGTACAGGGAGTGGGTTGGGCATCTGAGGTGAGATCAGCTACTTCAGCTCATTGCATTTGCTGTAAGTTTCTATCATTAGGTATTTATTTTGCAGAAAGGCTTGTACTAACTTAAGAAATCGGAAAAACGTATTGTAATGGCAATTTTTAACTACTGCCAACTGGTAGGTTTCTGGGAAAAAAATTGAATCATATCTGCATATGCAGGAGACAAAGGGTATATATATAATAAACATGCATAACCCTTGGCATGCATTATATACCTATAAAGCTACACAGTAATATTGTTAGTGGAGAATTTTGCCTTAGCTGGAATGAGCTCAATACAATTTAACCTGTCATTTTGGACCCCTTACACACTTTTTTTTACATCTTAATCAAACACTAATTAACTTTTGTGTTTACCTGAATGACTTGAAACTACTAAATATTAAATTAAATCAAAATAAATCTGATTTATGTTCAAAGTTATACAACAATAAAAATTTTAATGATAAAAATTAATATTTTTTAAACATTAATTGCTCCCTTTCAGTTGTCTACTGGTGAGATCTGGGTTCAGTACAATGATGGATCTCAGATGGTCATTCAATCTTCTGTAACTAGAATCAAATACACAGATAGTACAGGAGCCATAACAAGGTAATCAGTGTTCTGGACTTTTGAATTTTCTTCTATGGCCCTGGAAGAGTCCTGGAAGAATTGTTTCTCTTTTCCTCCCAAAATACTAGGAGTTTTGATGTTCCTTCAAGAACAGCAGCACACCTTTTTGGGGATTAGTGAGGATATTTGACATAGAGCCATTTAAAGGTCGATGAGATTATAGACCTTGAATAAAAATGATGTTTACTACTTATAATAGTAATATGTAACAAGATATATATGACTTTGAGACATTGTTGTGAAGTTTTCCAATAAAGTTGACGTGAATTTTCATTGCACCTAGTCGCTTCATGCTATGGAGCATCTGATGGGCCACTAGGTTCACACTTTAACTTTGTTTTGTGTGATTTCCAAGGTGCCTGCATCAGCAGGGTTTAACTATAGTAAAGGGTCCTCTGCTCTTTTGCTAAGCAATGCCTTAAAATACATTATTTTGTTTCCAGATATACCCACACCGACAGATTGCCAGAACCAATCAAGGACAAGCTGTCACGCCTCCCAGTCTTAATAGAAAATCTAGCAGCTTCACCCAAAATATCATAGAGTAGCTAAGATGTTGATTGTAAATAAGACTGTAAAATACTTATTACTTCTTCAGTTACTTAGTAGATGTCACTTACGTTTTCTCTGTGTAAAACAAATAACTTTCTTGCTTAGCAATCACTAGGTTTTTTACATTAACAAGAGTTGTGAGGGGACTGGGGATGAGTAGGGTAAGATTTACTAGAATATATTCAAATAAGAGAACACTAGGTTTACTAATTAGTAAAAACAATAGAAAGAACTTTTTGGAAGTAAGGTCACAAAATGACAGTTTTTGAAATACAGTAGCTAAAATGGAATTTGTAGAAGCAACAAATCAAGAAGAGTTATGAGCTTTTACAAAGTTTCGTTCTTAAACTCCCAAAGGTTTTGGTCCTCCTTATCACTGTGTAAAATTTCATTTGAATGGTTGTCTATACACAGCTGTTTATACACACCAGGGCCGGGTTGTTTGAAAGCCTGTTAACACTAACCCAGGATTAAACGTCAACCG